GAACCCGGGCGCTCAGCTTGGGAGCGCTGACAGTTTAACCACTATGCCAAGGTGGGGAGTGACAATCCGCGCGAATGTATGTGAAAAGGTAACACAAAGCGCGTGTGCAGGAAAAGGCGATATAACAATGGAGACAAGAAAACAGAGAACAATCAGAAGAGGTGGCCGAGCGGTCTAAGGCGCTGCAACCCTATTCAGAATTACGATTCTTTCTGCAGTCTACCTAAACGGTAGTCGTGGGTTCAAATCCCTCCCTCTTCCTTTTGACTTTTTCTTCTTTTTTGTTCTATTAATGTCCTTCATACATCAGCCCTCGTGGTCAGATTTTTCATGATGATGATGGGGCGCATTTTTTTTATTGCCACTGATCTTTTTAAAGTTAATTTTCGCTGGCCAATGAACGTCACTGGCAGAGATTTTGCAATTAAATTTTTACACGGAGACTATGCTCGCATTGCCGATGAGGATGGGTGTAAGTAGATGATACTCCTCGGCGTAAAATTATGCGGTGTATCTTTTCTCTTTAACGAATTCATAGGGTCGTTTTCAAGCTCACTTTGGCGCATAGAAGCAGCCAAGCGAAAACAACCCTTTTACTTTATCCGTCTGTTCACTATCGTGGAGGTTTTTACATTTCTGCTCTTTTGGTCGTTCAATTTGACCCCACTGAATGGCCGATGCACCTTCATGGTGTACATGCACAATGAGCAAGTTCTTCCCCTACATATTTTGGTTCATAGGAAATCTTTTTTCGGCCGTTATTTCAAAATCAAATCGAGTTTCTTTCACCAGCAGGAAAGATCTAAATTCCGTAGCGTCCACAGGAGACAGCTATCGAGCTAACGATATCTTTTAGGTGAGCTTCTTGCCTTGGATGTTGCTGTTCTCCTTGATGTTGTACTCCAAAATAACCTTGATGATCCTTGTATGCGAAGACTAATGCATCTGAGAGCAAATCAATCAGAGGCTATGAAAAGAAAAACGAAAAAGCTATGTAGCTATGTAGGTCCTCTGGTAGCTGCATGTTTGCGGTGTACCCTTTAACAGCAACGAGGTCTCTCCCTATTTCCTCCTCTTAGATTCCCTTTAATACTGGTTGGGGTTTGAGAAGCCGCTGTGCCTTTTTTTTTTTTTTTTTTTTTTGCATGGCAGCGATGAAACTCAACTCTGTCTGCGTGTGTATGTGTCAGAAACAAAGTCCTGTCCTGAAGCTGACACGAGCAAATGCTCCTTTCCTTTCCAATGCGCAATGTACCAATGTACCCGAAATAGTCGATATAGCTCCCTCACCATTCACCCCCACCAAATCATCAATAGACTAACTTTTTTTGCAAGCTAAATTGAAGGCTAAATTGCAATATGTTTCGGGTTCGCTGCTGGAAAAAGTTCCGCATCTGATATGGATTGATTGTCGAGCACATTGCGGGCCATGAAAGTGGGAGCCAAACATGAACTTCACTTTACCCAGAAGGTCGTAATCTACTCCCATCTCATCCTTACATCAACAAACATTCAACTGCAATTCTTCTCTCCTCTCTCTCTCATTCCTCTCCTTTTCTCTCCCTTTCCTTTCCTCTCATTACGGCTCTGCTACCTCGAACTATTTGTTATTTTTGTGTCTTTTGTCTTAAAACGTTATCCGTCTCAGGATCATTTATTACCATATTTTTCCCAAAAGAAAACGACACTTCTCGCAGCAGTTCTCTCTCTCTCTTTCTCTACCTCATTTCACATGCACTGCTGCCTATAATGCCATTCTTCAAGACATCACGGAGTTGTCGCCCAACACTCTCATTCTTCATTGTCTTTATTCGCATTATCCTCATCGTCTCTGCAACAATCAACCTCTGTGCACTTTCAGCAGTCTTCCAAATATATTCCCCAAAGGACAGTACATATAGCGGCATTCACGACTTCCAGGACTCTCCACAGTTCGTCTTTAACGCCTTCCTCTTCCTGGCAGCCCTTTATTCCTTTCTTGGAAGCTCTCGATGGTCTCGCAGGATACGTATCGTAGCAGGATTGACCTTGCTCGGATGTAACGCTAGTTTGGTTGGGTTTCAATTCAAGAGCATTGGAGATGGTGGAGGATGTGCGAGTGGTCAAATCTTCAACACCGTAAGCCCTGGAGAGAGCAGTCAACCAAGCAGTGACGGTACGAAAGGTCCAATGACGCCGAGGTTGCGGTGTATCATCCAAATGGTGGTTGGAGGCATCGGCCTCGTCTGGAGTGTATTACTAGCCGCAGAACTCGTGCTCACCGACCTGCACCGACAACGGGAGCTGGATCAAAAGGCGGACTCAAATTATAGAGAGTGCGAGGAAAATCAACAAGGAATGTCGGCTCCCGCCTCCATTGTACACCTTTACCAACCAGATCTTTCAATGTATGATTCAACGGGGAGTGAAAGAAGAACCAGGGCAGGGGACTCTTTGGAATTAGAGTCCTTGCCAGCATACGAGCAACGACCCTCTGGTCCTCGGGCACAGATCATTGACATGACAGATGTGAGGCACATGTCAAGGCCGGCAAGAGGGGCATCATTGCGTCGTCCGGTACCGGAGGTTATACAGTCACCTCCTCCAAGTTATCAAGCAGCACATCTCTAATCATACACTTTATATACTGACATACATGTATCCTGGCATCTTTTTTGTAAATTATTAAAAAAAACCCCCCATCCTTGCATAATCGTTCGTTCATTATTTTGAAAAAGTGATTACTGTACATTATTATTGCTATTGCGATTGCGATTGTTGTTATTATGGCTTGTAGGAAGGAGGTGGGAGTTCTTCGCTAGGTATTTCTACTGTGGCCTGTCCTTGCGGTGTCTGGGATACTGATGATGAACCGCCTGTTTCTTCATCAGACTGCAACCGCCTTGCAACAGCTCCAACAAGTCTCTCTGGAGGATGAGTGGCATCTATAATCCTTGGTTGATCTCTTGGCCTTCTTCTGGTATACTCTGGAAGTGATTCTTCCTCGTCTCCAACGCCTCGTTCATTAGTCACTTGTTGGCCTGCGATTGACGTCAATTCAAGCTCTCCTCCATTAATGTTACTACTATTATTATTATGAGGTCCTTGATTCGCCTCATGACCAACACCGCCACCAGTCTCGAGGGACAGGTCAGGTCTATACATAACAGCCGTACGCAACTCTTGCTCCGCAGTCTGCTCCAACCATTTTCTATCCTTCCACTGTTGAATTGTTATGACGGCTTCCATGATGATCAAGACAGCCCACAGGGTCTCACAACCACTGACACCATACTGGACCACACATCTCGATCGTGTGTTGGCAAAGAATGAATCGCTACAACCGTTGTGTTGGCCTAGGATTCCAATGAACAGACCGATGCCATAATTCAGGGCTAACGTTGCAAGTGTCAACGCAAAGAGCATTCTGCGGAAGGGGGAGGAGAGCCACCAGTAGGTGGAGTTTGGGCGGTAGAGAGTAAAGATTGCACTGATGAGGACTGTGATGTTGATGCCAAAGTGTGCAGGGTCATTGAAGTAACCTTCAGTGGCGAGTGCAGGTGTGAGGTCAAACGAAGGTGAGGACTTGTAATCCTGACTGATTTTTTTGCCGATAGCAACTGCAACAAAGCAGTAAAGGGTTGTGATGGCGAGTATGATCCGGATAGGGAGCAGGATTGGGTAACAGCAGCGCATCATTTGTGTTTATATACAATTATCGATATGAAGCTACTGGTGAAGATGGAAGAGTGGTGAGGGAGGGAATATGTGAAGGAATGGGATTAACGAGCAAGGAGGGGGCTGTGAGGATGTTGGCTGAAATATATACAGATCGAAAAAATAAAAATAACAATCAAAAAAAGAAGCACGCAACAGCCTAAGATTTCTAGACTCCAGAGCGGCGTTGAATGGATTTTGATTCAAGCAAAGTTAAGAATATTGGGCGGCGGTGGCGGTGTTCTTATTCTCCGGCTGGAAACACTAGAAGGGAGGAGCCAGGGCGAAGGCGCTTAATGTAAACGACGGGCACCTGACTCACATGCTAAAATGGGAAGAAATGGTATCATGCGCCAAGATTTTTCTCTCATTTCCGTTACACAAATGTCCACGTCCCTTGTAATTTATCTTTGTCCAGACTCCCAAAGTCCAAAGTCGAAAATCGATGAGAAGCAAACACACGTAAACAAATCGTATGTTCGATCAAAAAAAAAAAAAAACACAGATCAGATCGTATTAGTTATTACGCAGCTATTTTATATACAATAATAATGAGACTATTTTACAGGGTAATTGTCCTTTCGAGGGAGGTATTAGCCTTTTAGGGCATATATTCTGGCGGCTCGAATGGTGCGACAGTGACGACAGTGGCGGCGGCGGTTGAAGGGTCTGAGGCTGGTGTTGGTGAGATCATACTTCCTGCTTCTGTAGACAGGGGTGGTGACGAGAGCAATGACGTCGATAATGATTCCTCTATTGCCCCTACTGCAGTAGTATTGGGTACCTCAATAGTGGTCTGAGAGCCATCCGATGTTGTCAATGGAGGAGAATACGCTGGTGCTTCAGTCACGTCCAAAGCCTCAACACTGAGTTGGTTTTGTCCCTGTTGCTGTTGAACTTGACTTTGAATCTCAAGTGCAGTCTCGCCCAAGACACTTGTCAAGACTGCAGGATCCACGCCCTGTAGATTTGCCAAATCAACAATTGTTGCAGACTGCGCTGGAGGTCTCCTTTGATACTTTGGCAATATCTCCAACTCTAATCCCTCGCCGTCATTGTTCTCTGTGCCTTCCTCTCCGAGAATGTCGATGCGGTACGGCTGATCTGACTGCGCTGCTTCTCCTGTTGCTGATGCTGCTGTTGATCCCGAGAGGACAGAGCTTTGCTGTCCCGAAAGGTCCAAACGAGGCTGGTAGATATGAATTTGCTGAGGTACTTGAGTTCCATCGGCCAAACCGGCAGCACCGCTGGCATCATTTCTTGGAGAGATATCCAGAGGGCGGTCTATCTTTTCCCTCCTGACGACGATGGCAGCTAAGACGGACTCGAGTATGAGCACGAGTGCCAAAAACACATTTATGCCTTCAACGACTCTCATTAGAAACTGTCCTGAATCGTGAAAAGACAGTGGGAAAACCTTGACGGCGAAAAAGATGTAAACGCCCGAGAGGATCAGAGACATGATCAACTGAAAGATCCATCTGTACAAAAAAATAAATTTGAAGTACGAGTAAAAGAGGGCGTAAAGGTTGACAACGACTTGTGGGAGTAGCAATAAGTTGGAG